TAGAGAGTGAATGGGAGAGCGAATAGCCAAAAACCGAGTATGAAAAACCGACGAAGAAAAACTATAGACTTAATGAAGCCCAGCAGAGTTTATAATGTACGTAGACAAGTGATCAAGAGTTTAGTGGAAAAGGGCCGATGGCGGATGATTTCGGTATTTAAATGTCACTGCGCAACGCCCCAATGTATATGTATACTGTACTTGATATACATAATACCATCATAGACATAAGCAAGTGTAAGCCTATATGTGTCAAGTATAAAATGGAGGGAATACGGCTATGCAAGATCTTGTGCGGCCAATAAAGTGACGTCTTTTGTTCTTTTTGTGAATGGCTACAGAATAATTGTATCTTTTTTAGGATAAGTATATACTTGTTTTATATTTTCTTATTTTTAATTTGTTTGATACATATACTCTGGTTATATTTTCGTTTTTTTAGCGGTTTTACCCCAATTCAATTTTCTTTTAACGGCCAAAAAACGTCGTGTAATTTTTGTACAAGATATTAAAACCCGTAAAAACAAAATATTCAAAACACAAAAAATACTTCTCTTATTTCAAACAATAATCCAAGCGATTTGAAGCATTTCTATAGCTAGAAAGAGTATAATCTACCTTTATATATAAACCCATAATTATTTAATCTCTAGATCCACTGTTACCCGCCTGAAGAACTCCATCGGCGGCCAAAAATAGTTGCTGTGGTAACAAGGTAACTAATTTGGCGCCCTTTTGGGATCAATTCGCGATGCGATATTATAGAGATTGTAAACAAATCATCATTAAGCGCTATTGTCACATCCAATAGCGACTTTTCTGACATCGTATTTTTCTTATTGGAGTTTTTTAAAAAAAGCTCTTTTTTAAATCAAGAATATAAGCTTCGGCATCATTAGATAAGGTCCAAGTCAAACTGCTCAACCTCTTTGAATGGCCCAGCCGGAGGAAATCCCTTACTCAACTTTTCTGTCTACCACAATTGATATGGCCCATTCAAATCGAGCGGCGCCCACGTCCTTAATACGGAATCAAAGTAGCAGCACTCTTAGTAATAATATATCCTCATCGAACGCCCGTACCAAACCGGTCTCCGCGCGGTCTTCAATGAGTGAAAGTGCTTCTACTTCTGGTCACGGCGCTAATAGTAAAGCGATTTTGCATCGAAACAACTCTCACAGGATCAATGAGGTCCCAGAGGAAAAGGAGTCTAATATTCATGTTTATGTGAGATGTAGGGGTAGAAACGAACGTGAAATCAAAGAGAATAGTGGTGTAGTCGTCCAAACCACAGGTGATAAAGGTCGCGAAGTCATGCTTCAAATGGGTCCAATGGCCCTATCTAATAAAACCTATACTTTTGATCGTGTTTTTGGTCCCGAAGCCGATCAGTCAATGCTATATGATGGTATTGCTGATAAGATTCTCAAGGAAATGATTTCAGGGTATAATTGTACTATTTTCGCTTATGGCCAAACGGGGACTGGTAAAACATTTACCATGTCTGGTGATCTCGCTGATAACCATGGCCGACCAGCTCATGATGCAGGCATCATTCCCCGAACGCTGTTTCAGTTATTTCGTGAGCTAGATAAAGAAACAGCTGAGTACTCAGTCAAAGTTTCTTATATTGAACTATACAATGAAGAACTACGCGATCTTATATCCCAAGATGATGACCGAAAAGTGAAAATTTTTGATGATGCCAATAAAAAGGGTATTGTAATCCAAGGTATGGAGGAAGCTTTTATTAAGTCACCTAGTGAAGGCTTACAGATACTACAGGATGGTAGTTATAAGCGACAAGTGGCTGCAACCAAGTGTAACGATCTTTCAAGTCGTTCCCATAGTGTTTTCACCATCACAATTCATGTTAAGGAAGTATCTGAAGATGATCAAGAATTTGTGCGTATAGGCAAACTTAACTTAGTAGATCTTGCTGGCTCGGAAAACATTAATCGATCAGGCGCTCAGGATATGCGAGCGCGTGAAGCTGGTATGATTAATCAAAGTTTATTGACGCTAGGTAGAGTCATAAATGCACTTGTGGACCGCTCGCCCCATATACCATATAGAGAGTCCAAGTTGACGCGGCTACTCCAGGACTCGTTAGGCGGTCGAACGAAAACATGTATAATTGCGACAGTGAGTCCGGCCAAAGTGAGTTTGGAGGAAACAATTAGTACTCTGGATTACGCGAATCGAGCCAAAAATATCAAAAATAAACCTCAGGTGAACCAGACACTATCCAAAAAGATGGTACTGGGAGATTATGTGTTGGAAATCGAAAGGTTAAGGGCTGACCTTATGGCTACCCGGCAAAAGACTGGGATATATTTATCGGAGGAGAGTCACCAAAATCTGCTTGATGAAAGTGAAAGTAGACGTGCGTTAGTTGAGGAACAAAAATTACGAGTGGATGCCCTAGAATCTCAACTGAAGACGAGCCGCGATGGCCAGGAAGAGTTGATGAAGGAGTTATCGATCATCAAGAAGGATTTTGAAAAAATGGCGGATTTACTCGAAAGTACCAATAATAAATTAAACATCACACAAAATATGCTAGATTCTACCGAAAACAAATTAAATCTAGAGAAAATCATAGCCAAGGATTACGAATATTCGCTCAATATTCAGAGACAACAAAATTGTGATTTAACAGGTAAACTTGAGGATGCTATTGCGGATATTAAGCGACTACATTCCAAAATTGATCGTCGCGCTGCACTGGAGAATCTCAACAAGGCTAAGCATGACATGCTTCAGTCCAACACGCAAGAGTTTTATACTACGCTAAACAAAAAACTTAATTTATTCAAGGCTTCGATTATTGAATCATCATCGGTTATGGAACATAAAGTTGAAAAATTTCTCGAAAAGGAAGTGACCAAATTAAGCGATACGACCTCGTTAATCAGCCAAGGCACGACTACCCGCCTTGATCTCAATAAGCAATTTGATAAACAATTAATAACCTCCAAAATGGCCATGGAAGGGTTGCTCAACGGCATAAGTGATGTAAAAAACCAGATTAAGTCTGAAATCAGCAGTGGCCTTGAAGTTTTACGAACGCTTGCCAAAAAAATCTCAGTTGATATTCTTCAAGAATTTCAAGCTTACCAGGCCCAAAATATTGCCCAAACCAGTCAGATTCAAGCTCAATCAGAAGAATCACTCAAGAAAGCCTGTGCTATGATAGCTACACAAGCGGCTGAGATTAAGGTGCTGAAGGATGAGCTACTTACTGCAACTAAACGAGTATCTCGAACGACAGAATTGAGTGCGGATAGTATTATCCAGGCCGTTAAAGAAGAAAAGGCCCGCGCATTACAAACTCACGATAATTTCATCAAAACCATTACCGAATTCGCACAGGAAATGACCCGTAATCACAATATTGGCATTGAGAACCGGTTCAGTACAATAAGCAAGAGCCTAATTGACGAGAAGATTCTACTCGATACCGAGACTGATCGCTATGCTTCTTCTTTGGCTGGGCTGGAGGGTAAAAACCTACAATTAGATGAGCATATGGTCAATTCTGGTACTAGTTTACGAAACTCTTTAATGGATTTAGTACAAAACCAAGTGGATAAAGGTAAATTAATTGAAACAAATACAGATACGATTCATCAAGGCGTATCAGTCACGCTAGACGACCAAATCGAACAGCTTGATGATAAATTCAAATGCTTGGATACTTTTGTGAAAACCGCCCAAACAGAGTTTGGCCAACATGCCAGTAAATATGAACAAACACTTCAGAAAATTCAACGCAGTGATATGGCTGTTTTCACACGCCTGTCCGAACAACTATCATCAGCCGAGGCAAGACTCCTTCACCACCACAAGTACATAACAGGCTACCTTGGAGAAAACCAAAACACCCACACGGAGTTTCACACTGGACAACAGAACTTAGCGGACAAGCTTATCACAGTAGCTCAGGAGACGAAATTTTCTAGTTATAACCCCGCAGGAACATCGCCAATCAAGGCTAAGAGCTACGAATTTATGCGCGAGGTTCCAAAAGTTAAAGATCGCGAAGAAATAATTAAAGCGTATCAATTGCTTGATAAAACCGCCCAGCTTAATTTCAGAAATGATACAGCGGAAACATTATCAAGTGATGATACATCGTCCACAAACCCAATTTCTCCACAGAATAATGATGAGAGATTGCCTCTGCAGGAGAGAGACACCAAAAATACCGAAAATATTATGCCTGACGTTGCCAACAGCGCGAAATGGAACGCACAAGCCCAAGCCCTACAAGCTAAACAAAACACTCTTAAAAAAGATGTTGGCGATGGCATACCATCTTCCAGGTTAAATCAGAATCAAAAAGTTCAAAAATCGATTAATAAGCGAGGCGCTAAACCGGATGAATTGTCTTCGCAACAGCATTTACGGAAAAGAATTAATAGTTCGAGAGTTTGAAATGATTTCTAAAAGAAAAAAGAGTCGTATTTGGAAATTGGGTCAAATATGTTAACAATATCTTAATACATCTGCATATCCTAAGTATAATAATAAAAATTTGTATATCTGCTAAATTAAGGAAAGAAACCATGAGAGATATAATTAACCTTCCAATCATAATCAGCGACTATTACTTTAATTTTTTTTAATGTGTGGTAGACCAATTCCAATCTGTAAAACATTTTTCGAGAGTATGACAAGAACTTTTTAAAAAGATGTAAATGGCAAGCGCGTGTCTGCTGAAAAATTCTATTTAAAAGATTCAGTTAGTTGAAAACGAGTTTTGGGTAATCATAGGTGTCATTTGAGGAATATAACTATTCTATGGGATATAATTGAAGGTATTATCCATAAAACCTGTAAGGGTGAAGCAAGGCATGACAACAGTAACATGGAAAAACAAAAAAAAACAATTATTTTTAACAGTAGAAAAAATCCTATCCAATACCTAGGAATACTGGCTAGTGATTTTATAGGTAAAGAAAAAATAAAAAACTTTTCAAAAGTATTTAAAAAAAGGGGTCATCCCGGGTTTGATCCGGGGTCGCCTACAATAACGATTGTTAACACCGTGAGATTTTTAAGTATCCCGAAGCAGGCATACTACCACTATACTAATGACCCTTTATTTTAACAATTTGAAAACATACACGTATTATATTGACACCAAAATGCATCAACCATGTAGCCTATTTTAAGGATGCAGATAAAGTATTTACTCAAGTTACACCCTTATTAATCTGCTCCGACTCGAGGTATGGCTATAGTCGATAATCGGAGACGATTATGTATGAAGCCTGAAACCGGATGGTTTTTATTTTATTATATCATTTTTCAATCATTTATTTATTCTTGGCTTGGAAGCCGTATTTACGATGACTAATGAAGATGACTTTATAAGAACAATAGTAGGGTCGGGTCGCTTTGTTTGCTATACTGCCCGGCCAGGTTCCACCTGGAATAACCTATCCAGCAGGACTTCTTAGCTAAAGAGACCCAAAACAGCCGAGTTATGTGCACACCAAACTCTTTTTAAAAGGTTACGTCGAAGCTTTCCCAACACCAGAGTATCTTTAGTTCTATTGTTGGAGATGGTACGTCTCACGGACACTGCTGCCCTATTTCTGGAGCTATCTATATTTGGTTTCACACTCTTTAACGTTTAGCTATACCGAAAAGATGCGATACAAGGGCCCACATTATCTAGGGTTTACTTTAGTCATGTAGAATTAATTTCTGGCCAAGCCAAAAGACATTCAGAGAGGCGCTTGCTATGGGGGATACAGATTGACGGCGTGGGCAGAAAACAGAAAACCAGAAAACCGGTAAGGCTGGCTAGAGAAGATACAAACCGGAGTATTGGAGCTGTTGACCTAACACCGACACGTCATTATTAAAGAGGATAATATGAAACTATTAAGCAGCTGTTTAGCAATCCAAGGCAGGCACTACAAAGCATATTTGCCAGCTTATCACAAGCTGAAGTTGACCTACTGGGCCGTTTTACTGGTGGAAAAATACCTTGTACTGCCGACTGGCCAGCTAACCTTGCAGAAAATGAGGCTTGACGGAAAAACTAAATATAGTTTATTCTCCCAGTAATGTACCATCATGATAAGCAAGTAAAACCCGTACCCATAGCGAATATGTCTAAGCATGAGCGGAGTCTATAGAGGAAATGAAAACTCTATCGGAGAGGTAGTATCAATATCAGGTTATGATTGCGAAAAAAAATACGCACTTCATGTGAATTTCTTTTCTTTATTTTTCCATGCTTTTTTTTATTTTAGGTAATGCTCGCCGTTCATTCGATTGAATCGATGGCTTTGTTGGTGAATAATGCAAACCAAACAAACAACAAACAGCCACGCTTGTACGTACGTTTGCGATTGCTGTACGGCCCTGGAAGAAAACTAGATATATTATGTAACACCCAAGAATTACATAACCCCCAGGCCAAGCAAGGTTAGGGCTAGCCGTTGCATGGAAGATTCCGATTCATTCTGTGTCCCTGCTTAACTATGTATTATAGGGCAAACCTAAATATATCCAAACTACTTTTATACGGAAAAACTTTGGGTTTTGGAGCGTTTCCGATATTTATTATTCAAATTTCTCACCTTGCGCGCAAACCTCGTGGATTTTGAACAATAATCTGCTCAGACAAGCGCGTTTTTTATGTTTACACCACCCTCTCATGTCGGCGACTTAATATAACAATGCCTGTTCCAAAAAAGCGCCTATGTCCTTATATGAAAAATCTCGGTTAGGTCCTATTTTGTGCGGCTCGGTAAGATATAAGACATTTATATGCTCCATGACGTAGATGCATTAACAAGAACGCAGCAACTCCAGAATCTGTTAATGTTTGTCGCTATCTAGTGTGCATAAAAGTATGATTCTTGTATATGACGTAGTGACATTACATATGTTGGTTTGGATTCCGGAAATTAAGGCCTATATATATCAGGCTTTCCATCTCATATTTCTTGCCTAATTTTGAATAACATAATTATATAAAAAAGTCCTTATTTGCACCACATACACCCCGTGTAGACAAGCTCCAACCTTTACTGCCTATCATCATGCTTACTCTGACTCCCGTGATTCCCTCCAATAATGTGTCTACTACAGACATATCACTCTCTTCCAGAAGAACTTCATGTTCTAATACTGTAGCCGACAGCCCTGTCTCCTCTCCTGAATCAATTCCCTTTCCCGATTGCAAACTTAACGATATGGTTGGCTCGCTGAGTCTTTCTAGAAGTAACTCCAGAAGCAACTCTAGAAGCAATTCTGTCAGCAGACCCTCAAGCAGATCCATCTCTCGCCGCGCCTCCCTCTCTCGCAGAAATATCATCAACCATCCTAGATTAGCTTCTTATGCCTTTGCCTTCGACATTGATGGTGTTATTATCAGAGGTCCCGATACTATTCCCGTCGCCCCTAAAGCCCTTCGCATGCTCAACGGTGAGAACAAGTACAATATTAAGGTACCTTATATCTTTGTTACCAACGGTGGCGGCAGAACGGAAGAACAAAGATGTACGGATATGAGCAGCCGCCTTGGTATCGATGTTGTACCTGAACAATTCATCCAAGGCCACACTCCTATGAAGGATCTTGCTCAAAACCATGGTACCGTTCTTATAGTAGGCGGTGTTGGTGAAGATTGTAGATTTGTTGCCCAGAGATATGGTTTCAAGGATATAGTCACTCCCGTTGATATCCTCAAGTGGAACCCTCACGTCGCCCCTTTCAAGACCCTTACTGAAGAAGAACTTAAGAATGCTAAGGATCGAGACTTCTCCAAAATAAATATTGAGGCTATCTTGGTCTTTGCCGATTCTCGCGATTGGGCCACCGATCAACAAATCATTCTCGAGCTTTTGATGTCAAAGAATGGTGTTATGGGTACTGTTTCTGAAACTTTTGAAGAAGGTCCCAAGATTTACTTTGCTCACAGTGATTTCGTTTGGGCCACTAAATATGGTTTAAGCAGATATGGTATGGGCGCCTTACAGATCACTATTGGCGCTCTTTACAAGGCCCATACCGGCAAAGAACTCGCTGTTAATAAGTTCGGTAAACCTCACAGAGCCACTTTCCATTATGCCAGTAAGGTATTGAAAAATTGGAGACAAGAAACCTTTGAGGCTAACTTTGAATCCTCCGCTTCTCCATTTGACAGTGATTCAGAAGAAGAAGAGAAAGATGCCATAAAGACGGAAGAACCTATTGTAGATAGCTCGCAGATTGTCGCAGACGATGCTGAAGATGAGATTGAAGAATCTATCAACAATGTTCTTCCTGATGCCTCCACCGTCTATTTCGTTGGTGATACCCCCGAATCCGACATCAGATTCGCCAACTCTTTTGATAAGAACTGGTATTCTATTTTGGTAAAGACTGGTGTTTACGAAGATGGTACTGAACCCAAATATAAGCCCAAGATTATTCTTAACGACGTTTTAGAAGCTGTCGAATATGCTATTGAAAGAGAACATTTGAAGGAATTGGAAATTCATAATTCTATTGCTGATTCTGGTATTGAATTTGAACAAACTGGTTTCTTGCACCCCCATAATCTTCGTGCCATTGTCGAAAAGGCTCCTGTGGTTGAAGAAGCCTGTGAAGAATAGTAGTTTTCAAAGTTATAAAGTTGAAGGTACTGTTAAGTGTTTAAGGCAGTAGTTTAGCTACCGCCTGTTGACTAGTCAATTTACTTAGTTTTCTATCGGAGTATTTGACTGTCCCCTAGATTTTTTTTTTCATGTTTATTTATTTTAGCTTTTTTTAATCTCTGTTTTATGGTGTTTGGGCTTTCATTTAATTTTACGCATTCTAGTTATTCTTATGAACTTTTAACTAATACATTTTATTTCTCTACAGTTTCTTAACTTATTTATATATTTTGGGTATAAAAAAAAAAGTATCCGAAGAGAGAATTTTTTGGTTGTACAATGCAATATTTTCTATATGGACGAACTTAAGTAAATATCAAAATATATTGTCGTTCATACAAATACGTGTCTATGTTCAGGTCCTTATCCTGGGGCACTCCCAAATGCCATTTTGATGAATGGCGCGTGTTTTTCGCTTGTATCAACTGAGCCATGACTAAGCAACTTCGTCGAGTCCCATCCCCCAGATCAATTTTCGACCTTCAACATAGTCAATATACACCCATTATTGTTGTTGCAATTAAGAGTTAAAACGAGTCTTGACTGACTGCAATAATCAACCGCATCGCAATCTATACCGTCATAGGATATAATAGTTGATTATAGCTTAATATTTCGCGGCGTCTTTTTACCTTGCTATATATTCTTACCAGTATTTTGGACTGAGAGATTTAGAGTTTTTGGCCTCGTCTTCTATACCACACAAATAACGACTTTTATACATATACTTCCTGCTTTTTACTTTTTTGGAAGTAGATTACTGTTAAAATTTTCATTTTTCGCGCTTAAACCACTTATTCAGCTCGGTTGTAGTTTTCATTATTATGCAACTCGAAACCGCTAATATAGCTTCACAAGTTGACGCTTTTGCGTCGCGTTTTTCTGATGATAACGTTGGTATGTGCCTATATTAGATATGATATTTCTTGGAAATTTGTTATTGTGGATATAATGACTTTTATTTGAATGTTTTCTATTAATTTTGTAAACTAACCTCGGTCGACTAATCCTCATATAGATTTAAAAACCAAGTTTTCGGTCGCAGGAGAGTTACGTGATGCTATCGATTTATATCAAACCAGTAATGATTACGAACATTTTTTACAAAAGCTTTTATCGGTATTCATTAACTTACTGGCAAGCACTCCTGTCAGTTTTAATGCTGCTAGTATGGAGCAGCGATTCCGTAATTGTATCCTCGATATTATTCTTCGGATGCATATGAATGATACTTTCAAGCCATATGCTACCCAAGTTCTAACGGTAATCATGGGCATGCTAAAAGTAGAAAATGAAGATAATGGTGTTCTTTGTATGAAAATCATTACGAGTTTGCACAAGGCTTATAAGGTTCTTCTTATTGATCAAATCCAGCCTTTTCTTGATATTGTAATTGAGTTATATCAAAACATTCCTCAGGTAGTTAAGGAAAATTTCTCA